TGCCCACGCCCATCACAGGCTGATTTTCGATGCGACGGGGCATCACCGAGGGCTGATTTGCCAAGCCGGGCATGGGCCATCACCAGGCGATTTGTTTATAGCCCACCCCTCGCCATCACAAGGGCTGTTCCATAACCACGGCCCATCACAGGGCTGATTTTTTTCATAAGCGCCCGCCCACCAAAGGCTGGGATTTTCATTGGCCACGCCACCACACGCTTGATTTTCATGACCACGCCCACTAGGCGCTGATTTTCGGGTTTAGGGCTTCTATTGTGCACAAGCTTAGGACATTCCTGCTAGGGGCTGGATTTTATGGGTAGGGTTGATTTCGGAACCGGTATTTATTCTCTGGTTTTGTAGTTGCCTTTGGGGGTGGGGCAGTAGTTGGGTGGGGAACACCCATCCCCGGAAGACATTGAGGCTGTTTGAGTTCTCTTTTGGGGGTGGGGGGGGGCGTGCAGTCAGCCCAGTGACAAGTGTCCCAGTCATGCTCCTCACACTTCCTCTGCACTCGGCTGGCTCTAGCTGGCTCTCTTCTCCCCGGGGGGCTTCCGAACTCAGACCTACAGCTAATAAAGGATGGCCTGTACTTGATTGCCTGAGAAGGCATGGGGCCGCTCTCTTCATATCAGTTACAACAATAAGGCTTCGTGGGCAAATCCACGTGTATATTCTTGCTTGTTTGATCTGAGCTAAAAGGGAAAACCAGCCTTTCGTTTTGGTGTCTGACACGAGACTCCGGGTCTGTAGCTCATTCTCCTGCTGTAATTTCTTCCATCTGCCGTATCGTACACAAGGGCAGAGAAACCATTCACAAGCTCAAGTGAATATATTTTAGGACAAGGCGAGCCTAAGGGAAAGCCATGAGAGGTAAACTTCGAGGAATTACCTGCTCACTGACTTTGGGGGATGGGGCGAGTTATCAAAAGCAAACTTGTTTTTTCTGCATAAAAAAATGTTCTGGCCGATTAGATTACAATCATAGATTGGAAAAATAAAAAAAAATTTTAATTTTTAAAAAATATTAAAAAAAAAAAAGCAAACTTTTTTTTTGCTGCATATTTTCCTAATGCTGCGGTTTTATAGCTTGAACTATTCGCCATCTTGGGCACGGGCCATGGGAGAGTTACATGTTGCCAGGCCACTGAAATGTGTGCCATTTGGCCAGGGGAGCTGTGTAATTAGGCTAAAAATTAACCCATCACATCAAGTGGCGGGTCAAAGGTTTTTTTAGCATTTGATCTCAAAAGGTTGACCCACCAGCCTGGGATCTAGAAATGGCCAAGACTTTCCAGAATTGCCATTATCCGATGAGCAAGGTCTCATGATGGCTTGACACTTTAAATTACCTGAAGCTGGTTGAAACTACGTGGCCAAAGCCCCAATCCCGACACTTCTCCAGTGAGGCTCGTTTTAGAGACCTGACTACACACAGGAGAGTTCCTCGCATGGTGCACAGCAGGGCCTGCAAAGTCTGCCATAAATCACTCGACTTCTCATCTTGTGGCGCCACGCGGTGGAAATCCCTGGGGGAAGCTCTGGGCTTAAGGTGAGAGACACCTAGCACGGACCTTGGGCACACGGGACTGTGCAATGAATGTCACTCTCCTTGTATTTCAGCGCTCCCTCTAACGGTCTCTGAAGTTGTCCGGGGTCGGCGACGGGGGGCGGCCGCGGGGCTGGGGGCGTGTTCCATGGACTCCTCTTGTGTTAGTGTTACACTCCCATCTTCCGCCCAGTGTGGCACCCCACCCTGATTGTAGAAGTGTGCCTTGGCCTTCCCATGACATTCCCGTGATCCATTCCCATGGCCATGCCCATGTCATTCCCATGTCATTCCGCTGCGTCATTGTCCCCTCGTCATTCCCGATGACATTCCCCGTCGATTCCCATGGCCCGTTCCATGGTCATTCCCATGAAGACCATTTCCGATGGATTCCATGATCATTCCCTGGGTCATTCCCTATGGCCATTCCCGTGATTCATTCCATGGCCATTCCCATGTCGATTCCCTGGCCTTCCCCTGGGGTCATTCCATGATCATTCCCTGTCTTCCCGATGGGCATTTCCCATGGTCATTCCCTTGGTTATTCCCGATAATCATCCGATGGTCATTCCCTAATCATTCCCAGGGCTTCCCCTGGTCATCCGATGATCATCCCAGACAATTCCCATGGCATTTCCCATGGATCATTCCCAATGCCATCATCCCCCCAGGGAATCCCATGTCATCCCCATGATCAATCCCGATGGCATCCCCATGATCATCCCCATGATCTTCCCATGGCTCCGATTCCATGGTCATCCATGGTATTCCCCATGATCATCCGAATGGTCTTCCCCGATGGTCATTCCCATGATCATTTTCATGAATGGATCAGATGGTCATTCCCGATGGCATTCCCTATGATCAATCCCTGCAATCAACGGCTCAACTCCCTATCGCATCCCCATCAGTCATTTCCCCATGATCATCCCCATAGTCATCCCCGATGATCCAATCCCCATGTCACATGGCCATCCCATGGCATTAAACGCTGCTTCATCCTTTGGCATGAACTGGTTCTTCTCATTGGCCTCACTCCCACGACTACTTAGATTAAATCTCAAGAGGGAATTAGATATATACACGTTATGGGTTTTTACAATTTCCCCAAGTGACACAGCTTTGACTTCATGAGGGGCAGACAATATTGAAGGGATAGAGGGGTCCCACTTGGGTGAGGAAGGTTTCTTGATTTTCTTTAATAATGCATAGAGGAATTCCTATGTTACTCTAACGGAAAGTGTAGGTAAAAACCATTTTGTAGAATAGACACTGCTGAGACATGAGTCGGTTACTTCAAAGAAATGTAAATATAAGGAATATGTTTCCCTGTAGATTCCCCGAGTTTGTCGTATTAAGTATAAACGAGTCCAGAGACCAGGACTGATATTAAACCACTAACATCGTGAAACTCATGAGCTCCATGGTTAAACCAGGATATCATGAATTTCGTCGTTGGGGTCTCAAACAAATTTTGAGAGTTTCCCTGCCTTTCATTCCTTCTCTGCACTAACACCGGTTCTACATCACACTATATGTAGTGAACAGTCAGAGCAACACATAAAGAAACTCTTATCAATAGTGCCGTATGATTTACAAGTGAAATTTTCATGAGATAATTAAGATATCTTTCATTGTAATGGGAGAAAGAATAACTCTGGGTAATGCTTTTGATTTATTTATTTATTTTTGAGACAGAGTTTCACCTGTCGTCTGGGCTAGAGTGGCATGGCGTCAGCCTCGCTCACAGTAACCTCAAATCGCTGGCCTCAGCCGGATCTCCTGTCTCATCCTCCCGCAGTAGCTGGATACGGCATGGCGCCACACGGCCCTGGCTAATTTTTTTTCTATACTATTTTTAGTTGCGCCAATTAATTTCTTTCTACTTTTTAGTAGAGGAGGGGTCTCGCTCTTGCCTCAGGCTGGTCTCGAACTCCTGACCTCGAGCGATCCTCCCGCCTCGGCCTCCCAGAGTGCCAGGATTATAGACGTGAGCCACCGCGCCCAGCCTTTGGTAATGTTTTAAAGAAAGTTGCTTAACGTAAATACATCCTAATAATCAAGCCCAGACTAACAAATAAGCACACATTTCTTTCTGGGTATTATGATCTTTATTACAAAACAAAATATTTTACGTTGAGGTAACATTTCCAAAGGTATTTGTCAAAAATCAGTTGAATTTTATATACAGAATCTTGCTGTGTGCAACCCACGTAAGGAATGGGAGAAGAGTTTTTCTAGCATTGCACACAAACTGATTTTTAGAAAACATAAAGCTAAGAGTTATCTATGGAAAGAGGGATTTCTCTCCCTCTCCCCTCCCCACCCCTCCCATGATCAGGGAGACGATATTCATGGGAGATCCACAAAAAAACAAGGAACAGGATACACTGGTTGGGAAAAAAGAAAAAGTTCTGTTTATCCCAAACACCTCACCGTGCCATAATTTGAAGGGTTTTTTTTCACAAACCAAATATTGAATCATATAGTATTTGCTACTGCTTATCCCAAGAATAGAATTCTCTGGTCTTCCGTGGAGAAATTCTATGCAAACTTCCAACCCTGATGTCTTTCCTGCCCACAAGCCTTCCCTGATTCTCCAAGGCAAAGTTTGGCCACCCTCCCCAGTGTCCCCATCTATGCTGTCCAGACCTCCGATTTGGCCTCTACCATGCTAGATTGTAACAATTCTTATTTTTCTTGTATAGCTCCCTCCTTAACTCTTTAGCTTTATCCCTTCTATAAGCTCCTCGGGAGCAAGAAACAAGTCATTTTTTGGTTTTTTTTTTTTTTTTTTTTTGACACAGAGTCTCACTCTGTTGCCCAGGCTAGAGTCTAGCTCACAGCAACCTCCAACTCCTGGGCTCAAGCGATTCTCCTGCCTCAGCCTCCCAAGTAGCTGGGACTACAGGCATGTGCCACCATGCCCGGCTAATTTTTTTATATATATATATATTTTTTAGTTGTCCAATTAATTTCTTTCTATTTTTAGTAGAGACTGGGGTCTCGCTCTTGCTCAGGCTGGTTTTGAACTCCTGACCTTGAGCGATCCTCCCGCCTCGGCCTCCCAGAGGGCTAGGATGACAGGCGTGAGCCACCGCGCCCGGCCAAGAAACAAATCTTAAGCTTCTTTCCACCCCCAGCACCTAGTACAGTGCCTGGTATATATCCTAGACCCTCGGTAACTGTGCGTGAGGTTTAATGAGTCAGGGGCCACTTGAGCTGCGACGTTATAATGCAACACTGTCCCTTGCTCCCAGCCTCACCGAGCGTGTCCCTGTGTCACTGCACGTTATTTAAGGCTCTACGAAATGACGACACCCTAGGAACAAGTATATCGTGTAGCAATTTCTTTCAGAAAGAAATGCCTTCTGGTTACCCTTCTGGTCAAGACAAGAATAAATTATGAGTGTCACGAGGTCCCTACTTTCAAGCCCCCGGGCCCCCCTGGCTAGTAGCCGTCCTGGCAGTTGTTGTCGTCTTGGTCCCCGATGGGCTTGTTGTGGTAGGCGTCCACCGTCAGCTTTCTGCTTTCTATCTCGACGGTTCTGGGCCGGCCGTCTTCCTCGCTGCTCGAGCGGCTCTCGGCGGTGGAGTCCCCGTCTTCCCCGGACGGGCTGCTGCTGTCCCTGGAGTCGCTGTCCCGGCTGGAGCTGTCCTCGTCCCCCGGGGGGGACTCTGGGCTCTCGGAGGAGGAGGAGGAGGAGGAGGAGGAGGCCGAGGCCAGGCTCTCGCTGGACTCGCTCTCCGAGCTGGAGGGGACGGTGGCGCCACCCTCCTCGCTGGACTCGCTGGAGTCGCTGTCACCCCGGTCCTCTGCGTGGCTTTCGGTGTCATCTGGGTTGTCCCCCCTGGACTCGGTGGCTGCCTCCTCCTGGGACTCGCTGCTGCTGCTGCTGTCGTCGGCCTCTGGGCTGGACTCGCTGCTGGGCTCTGGCGTGTGGTGGCTGTCCTCCCGGGACTGGCTGTCCTCCCTGGCCTCCTGGGACTGGCTGTCCTCCCTGGCCTCCCGGGACCGGGCCACTTCCTTGGAGTCCCTGTTCTCCGTGGAGTCACTCTGGGCTACCTCCACCGTGTGGCCCCCGTCGGGCTCCCCTGTGTCATCTTCTTCCTCCGACAGGTGGGACTTTCTGGGGCGCTCGCCGTGCCTTCTGGACCCCGTGGAGGTGACACCGGGGCTGTTCGCTCTGGAGCCGCCCCTGTCGCTCCTGCTGCCCTGGGGGTCGTCGCTCTGCATGCCCGTGTCCTCGGACTCCGAGCCTTCCCCGTGGCTGCCGCCGCCCAGCCAGGGCTCCTCGCTGTCACTGCTGTTGCTGGTGGCATCTCGGGCACTCTCGTCCCCCTCGCTGGTGGTGTCGGCGGCCGAGTCCTCGTCGCCCCCCCGTCTGGAGTGCCCCCCGTCCTGTCCCTCTTCGGGCCCGGGGCCACGGCCGTCGTCCCCAAGGGTGTCATCTCCACTGTCATCTTCGTCATTGTCCTCGTCTTTCTCGGCTCCTCCGCGTCCCCCCGCGCCCCGGGAGGGGCCGCCGGCCGGTCCCTGGACATGGTGACGGGCGTCGGGGCCCTCCTGGGACTCCGGGCTGTCGCCGGGGTCTGCGTCGGCCTGGAGGTCGGGGTGGACAGACACAGTCAGGGCTCGGGGACCCACAGAGAGGGAGCTGGCCTGCCTGTCTGAGCTCTCTGCCGCCTTCTATTTTTATTTTTTATTTTTATTTTATTTATTTATTTATTTTCATTTATTTTACTTTGTTTTTTCTTTCATTTTTTTCTTTTTTTTGTGTGTGTGTGTGTATATATTTTTAGTTGCTCAATTAATTTCTATTTTTTTAGTAGAGACGGAGGGTTTTGCTCTTGCCCAGGCTGGTCTCGAACTCCTGACCTCGAGCAATCCTCCCGCCTCGGCCTCCCAGAGTGCTGGGATGACGGGCGTGAGCCACCGCGCCCGGCCTCATTTTTTGTCCTTAAGCTGCTGAGGTGTGGTTAACTGCCACCTTCTTGTGAAGTCCCTTCCCCTGACCCAGGCAGGTGTCCTTAAACTATGGCCCGGGCGGGGCCCCATGCGGGTGTTTTTGCCCATTTGCTTTTTTTGACTTCAAAATAAGATATGTGGCATGGGGCGATATAGGTAAGCTTAACGCCTGTGCCCCCACAATGCGCTAAAATAAAAATAAATAGATAAATAAAAATAAGATATGTGCGGTGTGTGCATAGGAATTTGTTCATAGTTTTTTTTTTTAAAAAAATCTATAGTCCAGCCCTCCAACGGTCTGAGGGACAGTGAACTGTCCCCCCCGTGTTTAAAAAGTTTGAGGACCCCTGCCCATGGTGAATTTTCACTACTCCATGTAGACATCTCTACCAGAGCTGACCCACCATGGTCGTTCCATTTTATACAGGCTCCTTTCACTCAATGCTGCAAAAATTTTCTTAAACACCTTTCTAGAAATCACATTTGATAAAACTCCCAGAGAATTTTTTTCTTTTTTTTTTGTGTGTGTGAATGAGTTGGTTTATAATGCTGACTCATCAAGTTGTTTGGTGTAAAACAATTTTTTAAAAAAAAATACTGAGTGATCTTAAAATGACCCAGATATTTTTTTTTTCCTCTAGAGGAGAAAAAAAAAAATATATATATATATATATATATGTATATATATATATATATTAGGGCAGGAGAATGAAACCTGTCTCTAAAGTGAAAATAAAATAGCACAGGAAGGTATACAAGGACAGTCTGGAAAGTATCTGGCGATGGTTGGCACAAGGAGAATGGTTACATGGCCGGATTCTTTCTGGAAGGCCCCTGTGTACCGCACATGCGTGGTAGAGTCGCCTGGAAATGGTTCAGCAAGAAGACGGCAGCCAGCGTGACCGCCAAGACAGCTCTCTGCTAAGTGGGAGGTCAGAGAGAGACAATTCCTCTAAGTAAAGCAGGAATTTTTCTCTGCACAGAGAAGAAAGGACATTGCACTCTGGAAAAACCTGCTGTCTTTACCCTACAACAGAGCATACTGGGGCTTTATGGGGGAACTGAACATGGTGTAATCCACCACCCCTCATTAAACACGCCTCACACCTCTCTCGAGCAGGGATTCTTGACCCTCACTCCAGAGCTTAGAAAACATTGAGGCGATAAATCCCAACGTCCCCGGGAAAAGAGCGTTTCCCCAAGTCTAGGCTTTTAAGTTTCTAGAAGGTTCCTCCGATGCACCTTTCGTAAATAGGGATAAACAGCCTAATAATAACTCATCTTCCAAATCTGGCTGAGTGTAGACTGCAACACGGGCCAAAGCTTCAGGGAGAAACCCGGTTCCTAGACTCTCCCCATGGGGCCCCATGGGATTGAGTCTGGTCAAAGTGATAGGACAGTTCAGAAAGGAATGACACTTAGTCTTAGAAAAAGGAAAAAGGAAGGCAGGTTTTCAGTGAAGGATTATAAGCTAAGACTGCCTGTCTCGCTTCCAGGGTTGCAGAAAGAACTGTTTTCAAGACAGAGTCATTACTAAAGTTTTCCTCAATGCTCTCCTACTCCTATCCTCTCCTCAGCAGAATTCTTTTTTTTGTTTTTTGAGACAGAGTCTCACTCTGTTACCCAGGCTACAGCAGCCTCCAACTCCTGGGCTCAAGCGATCCTCCTGCCTCAGCCTCCCTAGTAGCTGGGACTACAGGCATGCGCCACCACCATGCCCGGCTCATTTTTTCTATATATATTTTTAGTTGTCCAGCTCATTTCTTTCTATTTTTAGTAGAGACTGGGGTCTCGCTCTTGCTCAGGCTGGTCTCGAACTCCTGACCTCGAGTGATCCTCCCGCCTCGGCCTCCCAGAGTGCTAGGATGACAGGCGTGAGCCTCCACACCGGGCCTCCCCTGGCAGGATTCTTGACACAGAGGGCTCTCCAGGCAGTTCTCTGCCTGATATGAACTGCCCATTTGTAAAAGCAACACTGTAGTTTGGTGAATGAGCTATTCCTTGCCTAACATCGCCAATGACCATTTGTGTGTGTATTTTTTTTTTATTATTTTTTTTTAGCTAGGAGGGACATTTAGGGTCACAGTGGCTGCAATCTGGCTTCAGTGATTAAAAAAAAAACAAAAAACAAAAACACACGAATACATATCCACATCTGAATTCTCCTCACTCATTTTCCCTTCTCATTTTCCGGGACTATTTAGCTAGCATAACCACTGGTTAGAAAATGTTATATTTAACACGGTTGCCAGGTAATTTAATCTAACATAATTTCCTCTAATTCCTAAGTAGCTTGAAAAGTTAAGAAAGGTCTGTTTAATTACCTGTTCCTCTGAGCTAATTGGACTTCCTTCTGATGACTCACTGCTCTCCTAAAAGGGGAAAAATAAAATGTTTTTCTTTTACTGATTCCTCAGGAAAGAAAAAAAAAAAGGTGATACCCATCAACTGCTTCTGGTTTGAATTTACTGCTTTCAAAATGGTAAAAGGTGACAGAAAGGTTGTTCATTACTTCATGAGATGGATATGACAAAAATAAATGAGATATCCCCCATAATATGCTGAAATAAAAATAAATAAATAAATAAATAAATAAATAAATGAATAAATGAATGAATGAATGAGATAGGGCCAGGCCAGGTGGCTCACACCTGTAATCCTAGCACTCTGGGAGGCCAAGGTGGGAGGCTCGCTTGAGGTCAGGAGTTTGAGACCAGCCTGAGCAAGATCGAGACCCCGTCTCTACTAAAAAAAAATAGAAAGAAATTAGCTGGACAACTAAAAATATATAGAAAAAATTAGCCGGGCATGGTGGCGCACACCTGTAGTCCCAGCTACTCCGGAGGAGGCTGAGGCAGGAGGATCGCTTGAGCCCAGGAGTTGGAGGTTGCTGTGAGCGAGGCTGACGCCACGGCACTCTAGCCCGGGCGACAGAGTGAGACTCTGTCTCAAAAAATAAAAAATAAAATAAACGAGATAGTTACCAAGGCTGGTGTGGATGCCTGAGCCAAATGACCCTGCGAAAAAAGAAGGAAAACAAGTTATTCCTTCAGAGATGGGTCATGTCATTGCAAATATATAAAATAATTTTAGGAGATTTTTTTTTTCGGTCTCTTGGTATATATTTTACATTTATATAAGTAAATATGAGATTTTATGGTGAAATGGCTGAAAAAATGAAGGTAAAATAACTAATGGCCTGAAAAGACCTCGGGATATTGAAAGATCTAAAAGATTTTTGTTTCAGATACTCCACTTACAGAGAAAATAGGCTTTCTCTGAAGCTGGCTGGTCGTACAACCTGGAGGAAATGTAACGTAGGGAAAACAGCATTGAAACCCAGAATCCAGATTTCAGTTTTAATGAACTCATTGGTTTTGGTGTTAGCACTAAAAGCCACAGGTTCCAGGAAACCAGTAAGAGCAGGTGAACTAGGATGGTCGGTCACTCTATGTGAATGTGGCCAATTCACCTCACCTGTCTGATTGGGCAGCTTGTTACTCATAAATTAAGAAAATGAACACTCAACTGTGCTTATCTTACAAAATTGCCATGAGCATAGAATCAACTAATGTCTATGGAAGCCTCCTGAGAACTATTCAATGTGAGAAATGGTCCAAAGAAATGGTCCATTTGGAGACTATCCGCCTTACAAAATTAAATGGTTGAAAAAACTGAATTGAGAAAGCCATTAAAACCTTTCTTTAGGCTGGGCGCGGTGGCTCACACCTGTCATCCTAGCACTCTGGGAGGCCGAGGCGGGAGGATCGCTGAAGGTCAGGAGTTCGAGACCAGCATGAGCAAGAGCGAAACCCCTGTCTCTACTAAAAATACAAAGAAATTAATTGGCCAACTAAAAATATATATATAGAGAGAGAAAAAATTAGCCAGGCATAGTGGCGTATGCCTGTAGTCCCAGCTACTCAGGAGGCTGAGGCAGGAGGATCGCTTGAGCCCAGGAGTTGGAGGTTGCTGTGAGCGAGGCTGACGCCACGGCACTCACTCTAGCCTGGGCAACAGAGTGAGACTCTGGCTCAAAAAAAAAAAAAAAAAAAAGAAAAGAAAAAGAAAAAGGAAAAAAAAAAAGGTGTAGATTCTGGAGCTAGAGTGGTATAAATTCAAAGTCCGGCTCTAACACCAAGTAGCCATGCAACCTAGATAAACTTATTCTCTCAGACTCAGTTTTTTCACCTGTAAAATGGGAAGAAGATGTAACACCTGATTCATTGAGTTGTGAATAAAGTTAATATACGTAAAGCACTCAGAAATATACTATGCAATGATCATTGAGTCATTGAGAGTTAATGACTGCGTTATTGGGAGTCCACACTCAACAAACATCAACCCTCATTCCAAAGACTCTACCTAGTATCTTCTCATTCTTCTTTCTTTTCTCACCTCCCAGGACTTGACCTCCTGGTCCCCAAGACATCTCTTGTTAAAACAGATTTGGGGTCCTAATCTCTCCTGGACAATCCCTGTTCATTGTCATCTGTCCCTTTCTAAAATTGTATACATCCATTACAAGAAGAAAGCTAAAAGGACAACGCTTACTCGCCAAATTATACCATTGTTGGCATGTAAGCGTTATTTTCTGATTTGAACCAGAAAGTGTAGCTTTTGCTACCTCTAAGTTTATCAACGTGCTCATAAAGTCACGAGTAGTTTCAGCATTTGCAATAGAGTCAATTTGGTTATACTAATAATATACTAAAATTAAAATATTTCTAATAGCCATATGTCTACTCACCTTCCACTCTTTAGAATGTTCAGAGTCATCATTTTGATACCTGGCTACCTAGAAAATTGAGCACACATGGTCAGCCCAGATGGAAATTTCTGAAGCAGCAGTTATTAACACTTTACAGAATTTGGAGCAATAAGGGCTTGTTAAAGATCTTATTTCTGGGCCCCATCCTTAGAGTGTCTGGTTAATAGGTCTGGGGCAGGACCCAAGAATTTGCAGTTCTAACAAAGCCCTGGTTGCTGTGGGGCAGAAAAAATGAGAATCGTGGCTCTATGAATGGCAACTGAACAGAATAAGCAATAACTTACGTGCTATTTTAAAGAAAAGAGCTTTCTAAGAAACTACTGTTTTTAGCTGGCTGGAACAAACACAGACACTTTGGCTCACAGCATGTTAAAATTAAAACGTGGAGTTTTATGTATAAAAGGGTTTTTGTTCATATATCCCTACCCTGGTACTTACAGGGAAAGCACAGGCTAACCCCCAAAGGAACATGAGCAGGACACTGGGCCTCATAGTTGGGTGTGAAGTCGCCACCTATAATAAAAGACAGAGATGTTTTCCCCCTTGTTAAAGAAATAAAGTAGCTTCAACTTTTTAACAGTTTTTTTTCCTATTAAAAAAAACTCCACTGAGCGCGGTGGCTCACGCCTGTCATCCTAGCACTCTGGGAGGCCGAGGCAGGAGGATCGCTCAAGGTCACGAGTTCGAGACCAGCCTGAGCAAGAGCGAGACCCAGTCTCTACTAAAAATAGAAAAAATTAGCCAAACAACTAAAAACAGAAAAAAATGAGCCGGGCATGGTAGTGCATGCCTGTAGTCCCAGCTACTCGGGAGGCTGAGGCAGGAGGATCGCTTGAGCCCAGGAGTTGGAGGCTGCTGTGAGCTAGGCTGACACCACGGCACTCACTCTACCCCAGGCAACAGAGCGAGACTGTGTCCCAAACACAAAAACAAAAAACTCACCCAAATATCCATCAACTGATGAATGGATGAATAAAATTTACTATATCTATAAAATGGAATTTTATTCAGCCATATAAAAAGTAGTGAAGTGCTTGCAAGAAGTAATATTTTCATGGGAAAAAAGTAAAAAAAAAAGAAAGTATTAATTTTTAAAAAATAATTAATAGGCCGGGCGCGGTGGCTCACGCCTGTAATCCTAGCACTCTGGGAGGCCGAGGTGGGCGGATTGCTCAAGGTCAGGAGTTCAAAACCAGCCTGGCGAGAGCCCCGTTTTTTTTTTCTCTACCAAAAATAGAAAGAAATTAATTGGCCAACTAATATATATAAAAATCAGCCGGCATGGTGGCTTGTGCCTGTATCCAGCTACTCGGGAGGCTGAGGCAGGAGGATCGCTTGAGCCCAGGAGTTTGAGGTTGCTGTGAGCTAGGCTGATGCCACGGCACTCACTCTAGCCTAGGCAAGAAAGCGAGACTCTGTCTCAAAAAAAAAAAAAAAAAAAATAATAATTTTTTTAAAAAGTAATGAAGTGCTAATTAAGACATGCTACAAAGTAGAGGAACCTTGAAAACATTATGCTAAGTGAAAGAAACCAGACAAGAAGATGACATTTGTATGGTTCCATTTATATGAAATGCCAAGAATAGGCAAATCTATAGAGACAGAAAGTAGATTCGTGGTTGCCCAGGGCTTTGGGGAGATGGGGGGGGCTGAGGGGTATCAGCTAAGGGGAACAGGATTGCTTTTGGAGATGATAAAAATGTCCTAAAATTGATTGTGCTTGACAGTGTGGATATATAAAAGCCATTAAACTATATACTTCAGCTGGGTAAAGTATGTGGTATGTAAATTATATAACTCAATAAAATGGTTTAAAAAAACCCCTTACTCCTAAAAAATAAATTGAAAACCTTTTAACAGTGAGCTCTATAAACACATAAAATATGATACATGGGGGAAAAAGTAAAGAAAGGGGAATAGAGAAATTTCTGGTCATTCGCTTTTATAATAATTATATAGCTTGGTATGTCAGAGCAACCTAGCACAATTATTCCCCTAAAAAGCTACATTTATTGACACCATTGATAGGTGGTGGGCATTTATCTTCATACACAAACACACACACTCACACACACACACACAATGGCTTCTAAGTCACATTTATAACTGTATAGTAATGTCTACACAAAATATATTGTTGTGCATTTTTTTTTCTTTATCTACAACAGGTGCAATATGGCAGGCTTCGTATTAGGGTTCCAGAAAGCTCTTAATATCTACTGGGACACATTTAATCATACATTATGCATGATTATGCTAAATTCTTTTAGCTGTCATTCCCAGCGCCAAAGGATTTAGGGAAGATTAGAAGTTTGGCATACGCTTGCGAATCATGCTAAGAGAAACATGGCAAATCAAACGATTTTTCTGGAGGGCAGCCTCATTTCACACTTCAAGAACTGGCGATTAGGAAAACAGTGTGTTCTCCATCTAAAAATAGATACGCTAGATGCTAATGTAAAATCGTTGCTGAAATGATTTTAAAGGAAAACAATTTACTCTGAGCTAGGAATTCCTTGTTGCTGTCTTAACACGCTTGTCCAATGGACTTCCATGTTTTTGCAAAAAGCAATGCAAGTTTATTAAAGACTGCAAGTTTATTAAAGACTTCACTTTTGTTGATTTGCTTCTTTAAATGTTCAATATGTACCATATTATCGTAAGGGCTAAAAAAAAAAACCAATACACCAAAATGAAAGCTTCAGAAGCAAGTATTTCTCTCTTTCTCCTGCCTTCCTGTCTACGGCCTCTCTTTCTCCTCTAAGGTTATCTATAGAAACTAGATAGGCTCTTCCCCAAGGTGGGACATAAACCCATAACACCTTTTCTTCAAAACCAGCCATAAAACCTAAAAATAGTACTCTATCTCTCCCCACCTTGCCTCCTATGCAAAAACTAGCCACAAAGAATTTATCTGATCTACCTTGTTTGATTGTAGGTCATATAATCCCAGTTCCAAAGAGGGTCCTACCCTCTGCCCAGAAGGAAGGAATGGGTCTCAGAGAGGCCAAGAAGAATCCAGAGAGACAGGCCTTGCTGGGTTTCCCAACTCAGCCTAGTGACATTGGATCATACCCTTTTTGTCTAATCATATTTCCACATTTCTGTCCATGTTTTGTTGAACCTAAGCACAAACATGGACAGTTTCTTGTGTCTCTTTGGGTTTTCATTCTGAAGGCTCCTGTGTCATGAAAAACTACGATCAGATAAATTCATCTGCCTTTTGTGCTATGAACCTGCCTTTGTCAGTTGATTTTCAGTGAACTTTGGGAGGGTGAAAGGAAGTTTTCTCATGGCCCCTATGCTAGTGATAAGAGACATAAATCAAAGATTCTCAGTCTTGGCTGTGTACTAGCATGGCCTGGAAAGATTTTTAGAACTACCAATGCACAAATCGTGTCCAGGGTAATAAATCCATTCATGGGTTGAGCACAGGAATAGGTTTGTTTTTAAGGTGCCCCAAGTGATTGTCTAGAAATCTTTTTGTTTTTTTAGAGACAAGGTCTCGGTCAGTCACCCAGGAAGACATAGTGCCTGGTACAATCATAGCTCACTGTAACCTCGAACCCCTGGGCTCAAGCGATCCTCCTGCCTCAGCCTCCGGAGTAGCTGGGACTACAAAGGCATGCGCCACCATGCCCGGCTGATTTTTCTACTTTTGTAGAGATAGCCTCTAGCTGTGTTGCCCAGGCTCCTCTTGAACTCCTGGTCTCAAGTGATCCTCCCGTCTTGGCCTCCCAAAATGCTGGGATTGCAGGCATGACTAACCATGCCTGGCCTAAGAAATAAGAATGTGTTACTCAATAATGTCTGAGACACTGGGCTAAAGAAGCCATCTAATCTTAGTTTTTAAATTTATTCAAGAAAATAATACAAATCGTAAAATAAGGAAAGAAACAATCCTCATTTCTACTTTTATATAACTCAAATGGTCAAACAGAGCCTCTCATTTGATACTATGTCTCCTCAATGTAGTTATTCTTCATTTGCATTATTTTCTTTATTCTAATTCAGCATAATGCATATTCAGTCCTTATGTTCTGATATTATTTTAATTTCTTTTTTAAAATCCTTCAGCTAATATCAACAGAGAAAAATATATGAAAATGCCCAACTGTACCTAAAATGAACCTAATTCAACGGATATTACTTCCCTTTACTTCTCACAATCAAAACACTTTTTTTTTAAGTTTTAAGGTTCATTTCTTTAGGAAGGCAAAATTTTCTCAGATATGATAGTGTCCAAATAATTGCACTCTAATAGTTTCAGCTTCACAGATCAAATGAAAATTGGGTGGTTCACCATTTTAATTTTTAAGGTGAAATTTGAGTAAGGTGATAATCTCATGATTCTCTGAAAACTAGCAAATATTACGGCCTTAATAAAAGACCAATGACTATTGAGTTCTCCTGTATTTTCTTTAGCTTCGCTATTATCTAAATAATTAGAAAATGAGGGGATGCCGCTGTGCATTTATTTTATACCAATGAATGTTGTATATTTTCCCAAAGAAGTGCATGCTTCCAGTGTTCAAGTTTCTTAGGGATGAATTATTATAAAACATGAAGAAGACGCACTAAGTTGCTCAGGCTTCTAGAAATACAATTTATCACCCTGACCTAAAGCGATAAGATCTCAAATGGAAGTCTGGTAAACTAAAATAAAAGATACTCTAGAGTTCTAAAAGAGCTGATGTTTCCTCTCAAAGAATACAGTCCAACCTTAAGCATTAAAGAAAGTCAGATCTTAAACCCTAGGTTGAGTTTTCGATTTAGTATTTTTGATAAGAATAGTCGTAATAGTTGAAGTGCATTTCCAAACAAGAGCTCTAAAACTTTATAAATTTTTTTAGCTACTGTCCTCAAAAAAGTGGGAGCAGATATATTGTTCTGAATAATAAAGCCTGAAAAATTAAGAGTCCAGAACTTCGTGTTCTTCATTGATTGGTTGATGCCATTTCTATATTCTATGTGCTGCCATTCTAGAATGAGCCATTCTAGAATGAGAGTATATAACAATATAACAAAATGAATTGTTTTCCCAGAGTTGAAAAGATCTAAATGTTTAGGATCTGGAGAAGGAAATTTCAGTCCAGATTGCAAGTGTAACCAAAACTTCTTTGGACTGTCAAGTAAGGAAACTTGTTCTGGAATTTCCTCGAAGTTAAGATTCACTTGCAAAGTATCTTTTATCTTCTTTTATGCAAACTGCAATAAAGGAAACAGGCCAAAAGAAGGAAATTAAGGTTTGAAAAATCACAGGCTCTCTTTACCCTTGGAAAACAATACCTCGTGTTAATTGGCTTATTTTTTGCCTTCATATTATCATCCTCAAGAATACTAATGAACAAGAAATTCCTATGTCAACAGTCAACAAATAGTCACAGAGAATATGCAATGTGCATATAGTAAGCTGGTCTTATAAAAGTAAAATTACCCAGGTTCCAACTAACCAAAACTTGTTAGAATTCATTTCATTATTTCTCTTTGAAAATAAAGTGAAGCCTGGCCAGGATATGAACTCCATCAGGAATTCAGAGAAATAAACAAACGAGAAAAAATTTCCTGTCCTTCCTATTGTGATTGTCTCGAAGTCAGTCAATATTACCATCAATCCAATATTATATGCCTTCGACCACAGTAAAAATAACTCTAAGGTGCCCCCAAATTAAACATTAATTTGAAGCCCCCTAACAATTTGAGGACATTGTTCTACATCGCCGTTTTGGGGTAGGTAAGGGGACCAATGCCCTTCAGAAAATTGTTTGTTTGTTCCCATGTTTTTAACCAACAAGGTTAAAGTGGGATAGTTGAGTCTCAGTTAAGCTGAAAGGTTGATTAACCAGAATTTGGTGCTCCTGCAGAAAACAGGTTGCTTAAAGTATTTCTATCACACATGGAATCTTCTAAATGTCATATAAGAATTCATTACCTGCTCCTACTCTCTTGTATAAAACAGATACCTCTGATATAGATGGAGAAGTGGAATAAATACAAGCAAATAAACTACATATGGCCAGGAGTGTGTATGTGTGTGTATATATGTGTGTGTGTGTATATATGTCTTCTATACTAGGAAATGTCTTAATAAGCAATTATGTTCAACATTTATTGAATTCTGACTATATGGAAGGCATCATGCTCACCTGAACAATACAAAAAATATTCGAATTATCACACCCATGGTTTATTTCAGGGGCCTTAGCATTCATTTTTCAGCTCCTTATTCAGCCCATAATGAATATTACTAGATGCTCTCTAGATGAATGATATTCAATGGCTTTTAACTTTAAAAAAAATAAAAAATAAAAATAAATAAAAATAAGTATTTTGAAAGTCCTGCCGGTCTAGCTTAGATTCTTTCACGATGTCTTCATAGCCTGTAAACATCCCCCAGTAGCCATGCAAACTAATTGAAAAAGTTTCATTTGTTTTGCTAATTAAAGGTAAACTTCCAAATGACCTTCCATCTGTCTCCTGTTCCATAAATTTTCCCTTTCAGAAGGATCATGCAGAGATCTAATTAAAACGCTACCAAGATGAATTTTCTAATTAAATTTTACATGCTATTAAAAAAAAAAAAAGCTACCAAGAAAAACACCTGGCTCTATTGACTTAACATGTCATTTTAATATCATTATTTGCTGCGGCATAAACAACAGACACAAAAATGGGATGATTATTATTATTTTTTTTTTTACCAAAATTCAGCCCTCCCCATGTTGTCTCTGCATGGCATAATGCCTTTTGACATGTATGCATATTTAATATTTTCCAAACAACACAGGAAAAGTCATTAAAAAAAAAAAATGAAATGATGAAAATGTCTTACCCTTCTTAGTTTGCAAAGACTTTTTTTCCCCAAGAGTCTCAAGGAGCAGGTTGAAGTTGTGACGGACAAACTCTGCACCCAGTCTTGCTACTCTGGACACTTCCCCAGTAGCTCAGGAATTTAAACTCTACTGCAGCTCTTCGCAGCCAATCAGCTTCGGGCTGGGGGGGTGACTGCCATCACAAGGTGTCACCGGGACCCCAGTACACCCACACTTCCTCTAGCTGGCAGGGGCAGATGTTCCCTAAAAAGCTCTTGTGGTTCCCAAATGACTAGACTAGTTTCCATTAAATTGAAGATCTCCCTAAAGCTTTATTTTGGTTTCTAAATATATGTCCTTCACATTCAGGGCTTATGAACATGATAAACAATGACCGAGTCTTCCACCCACCTGCAGATCCTAGCAGACCCAAGGATGGGAAAGGGATGGGGGGGTCAGGGGTGGGGAGACAGTTTCCTGTTAATGTACATTTCCAGGTTGTACATGAAGGAAGCTACTAAAATACTAGACTTTTCTTTTTCTTTTTCTTTTCTTTTCTTTTCTTTTCTTTTCTTTTCTTTTCTTTTCTTTTCTTTTCTTTTCTTTTCTTTTCTTTTCTCTTCTCTTTTCTTTTCTTTTCTTTTTTTTTTTTTTTTTTTTTTTTTTTTTTTTTTTTTTTTTGAGACAGAGTGTCACTCTGTGGCCTGGGCTAGAGTGCCGTGGCATCAGCCTCGCTTACAGCAACCTCCAACTCCTGGGCTCAAGTGATCCTCCTGCCTCAGCCTCCTCCCGAGTAGCTGGGACTACAGGCATGCACCACCATGCTCGGCTAATTTTTTCTATATATTTTTAATTGACCAATTAATTTCTTTCTTTATTATTTTTTAGTAGAGACTGGGTCTCGCTCTTGCTCAGGCTGGTTTCCAACTCCTGATCTTGAGCGATCCTCCCACCTTGGCCTCCTAGAGTGCTAGGATGACAGGCGTGAGCCACCACGCCCGGCCTAGACTTTTCTTAAATCGTTGGTATTCTTTTTTCTTTTTTTCCCCCTCTTTTAACAACTTCTACTACTCATTTTTCCCCTCCCTTCTCCGTATCCTCCTATACACCCAAAGGCCCCAAATTCCTACTAATCTAATGAGGTACCCACTTACAAAATTCTGCAGTGATTGAAAATGTGATAGCACCTCCCTTAATTAACTGTTGTTTTTAACCAAAAAGAATTAAGATCTAGCACTTCATGATTGCCCCTAACTGGTTGCCCCATTATAATGACTCTTTGAAATCAGAATTAGATTAAAGGGGTCCCTCATACTAGTGGGGTAGCACCCAGAGAAAGTGATCTTCAAGAAACTCTACACCATCCGGCCAGGCGTGGTGGCTCACGCCTGTAATCCTAGCACTCTGGGAGGCCAAGGCGGGAGGATCACTCAAGGTCAGGAGTTCGAAACCAGCCTGAGCAAGAGAGACACCCAGTCTCTACAAAAAAAAAAAATAGAAAAAATTAATTGGCCAACTAAAAATATATAGAAAAAATTAGCCAGGCACGGTGGCGCATGCCTGTAGTCCCAGCTACTTGGGAGGCTGAGACAGGAGGATTGCTTGAGCCCAGGAGTTGGAGGTTGCTGTGAACTAGGCTGATACCATGGCACTCTAGCCCAGGCAACAGAGTGAGACTCTGTCTCAAAAAAAAAAAAAAAAAAAAAAAAAAAAAAAAAAAAAAAGACTCTAAACCATCACTGAAAATGTAATGAAAAGGATAAAATAATATTTACCAAAATTCTTTTCGGGGAGTGCACAGAAAGTTGGTGTAGCAAGCTGGAAATGGGTTTGGTACCTCCCAGAGAGCTTGCTCAAGTAACAATAGAATAAGCACTGGATCAATATTTAAAGAATATAAGCTACTGGGCCCAATTTCTTTAATAGTAGGGATGTTTGCTTTGTATATTGGTCTATAACCAAAGCCCTAACACCTAGAACAGCTCTCGGGTCATAATAAACACTAGATATTTTTTGAGTGACTGAACCCATTCATCTGGAAAGGAGCCAAATTATTAGCTTCATTACAATGCCTCCATGACTCACTCTGACTTTTTTTTGAAAGTGTTTTAATTTTAGCTGATGCTCCTAACAACCTGGATCTAGATAACTGGGGTGCCTAAGTCTACCCAGGAAACTAATGTCAAATATATGGATTGTTCGTTGTGAACTACAACATGGGGTAGAAGGTAGAAAATGAGGAGAGAGAGGAGCCTATTTTCATTCAGATTGGTTAGAAGGGCCACTTGGGTGAGTTGTAAATTCTCTGTGTTCCATTCTTGTTCTGAATTACATTCCCTGGTGGTTTCATAGGTTTTTGCCTGAGGTCTGTCCTGGAAGAACCTTATAATCTTATGTCAGAGTGGATTTGGGGAAGATTTTGGCATATAGCATTCCAGGACGTTGATTTTAGACTCTCTCCCAATCCTCATACAAACAGAGGAGCAATTAGATAACAAAATGTAAAACCACAGACAACATTTACAACAAAACTAGGTATTTTGTTATTTGTTGCTACATTAAAAACCACTCCAGTACTTTGTGTCTTAAAACAACTACCATTTTATTATCTCTCACAGCTACAGTTATCTGTGGACTCAACTGGGCCAGAACATTCCAGATGGCCGTCACATTCCAGATGTGACCGTTGTCTGGGAGCTCAGCTGGAGCTGTTACTCTGAGCACTTCCGTTCTTCACGTGACCTCTCCTTGTGGCTTGGTCTTCTCAAAGCATGGTGGCTAGAGCCCAAGAGCTGCCCAGAATGTCACTCTTCTTACATTCTATTGGTCAAATGAGGCGATCCAAGATTCAGAAGGAGAAATAGTGTTTACGTTTTGATGGGAAGATCAGAATGCATGTAAAGAGAGCAGAGGAAATGTTGGGGCAGTTTTTTGGAGATTAGTCACCATACTGAATGATGAGTTATACCCACAAATTCCAAACAGTGTGAGGCTGAGGGCAAACCACCATCTGCCATAAGACCTAGAATGTCTATGTAGGAGTCAGTAGATAGACATGAGAACAGGAGAACAACAAAACAGTCAATAATTATTGCCAGTGGGTGCCAATGGCACATAACAACATCTGAAGGATCTGGAGTGTTCTAGATGATACAAATTCTCAAAATGGAGCCACCACAGCTGCTTCCCAGGACAGCTCCATATAGAGGAGAAACTTCTAGAAGTAGGAAGAAACTTGCACAGGATATAGGTGGTAGATAAGGTACTTTTTGTAACAACCTGTATGGAACTAGAGACCATTCTTCTAAGCAAAGTATTGCAAGAACAGAAAAAATAAACGCCACAGGTATTCACTATTAAATTGGAACTAATTGATCAACACTCATGTGCACGTATGGTAGTAAAACCCAACAGAAAGCAAGTACGTGGGAGGGGGGAGGAGGGGACCGGTAAATTTACACCTAACAGGTCCAATGCATGCTACCTTCGTGATGGGCACTCTTGTAACTTTGACTCAAACTGCACAAAAGCAACACGTGTAATCAAAATGTTTGTACCCCTGTAATGTTCTAAGAAACAAACCAGACAGCATGATAGAGTTTTCTAAGATGCATATGTACCGTGTTTCCCCCAAAATAAGACAGGGTCTTATATTCATTTTTCCTCAAGAAGACACCCTAGGGCTTATTTTCAGGGGATGTGTTATTTTTTTTAAGTATGGTACAACAATCTACATTGATTCAAATACAGTGAAGTCGTCTTCTTCTGGAACATCATCCTCACTCTCCAGACCCCGAATCCCATCCTGAATGTCTTGTGACTCTTGTTTCCTTTAGAGCCACCGGCCCCGATCTCTCCTGTCGAGCACTAGAGCTCTCACGGGGCGGATGAGAAGGGCTGCTCGTGTTCTTTCCCGCTCCGCGACGACACGCATGGGTTGTGCAGATGCGCTGCGCAGCCACGCCCGTCACTAGGGCTGATTTCCATAGCCACGCCCACCACTAGGGCTGATTTTCATAGCCACGCCCATCACTAGGGCTGATTTTCATAGCCACGCCCACCACCAGAGCTGATTCTCATAGCCACTCCCATCACTAGGGCTTATTTCCATAACCACGCCCACCACGAGGACTGATTTTCATAGCCACGCCCATCACCAGGGCTGATTTTCATAGTCACGCCCATCACTAGGGCTGATTTTCGGGGTAGGGCTTCTATTGCGCAAATGCTTAGACATCCTGCTAGGGCTTATTTTATGGGGAGGTCTTATTTTGGGGGAAACACAGTATCTAAAGACTTATACCAAAAGTCAGAGTTCAGCTGCCAATGGGATGGAGAAGAACAGAAGGGGTGTGTGGATTGAAGGTAAAAGGAAAAAATTCAGCATGTCATAAGCTGAAGATAGTCAATAAGTCAATTATCTGCTACCCGAGGCAAAATGATGGTGGATAATATGTGAAAGGCTAGAAGTATTACCTATCACTTCCACTCACATTCCATCGATGATAATTGCAACACGAGCATTTCTGAGTGCAAGGAGAAGGGGGGTCATTCTGAGCTGGGCAGGGTGCCTCCCTGAGACAGCTCTCCACATCCTACAATAAAGAGCACACGTGTTTGGTGGAAAGCCAAATCTTCTGCCTGGCTGCTAAAAGCTGCTGAGCTTAAGGACGTGTTCAAAGATTTATAGCACAAGGAATTTGCCAACCAGCAGATCCAGCTCAAATGAAGTGAAGCGGTTTGCTATTATTGGTAACTTGCATGGATTTTCTCGTTTAATGCTTATGCTAACCCTGTCAAATAGGTATTATCATTATCCAAAATTAAAAATGGAGAAAAGTGAAATGCCAAGAGGTTATGTAACGTGTCCAATGTCATGCAGTCAGTGAGTGAAAGAGCCAGGGACTCTAAAAATTATATTTTTGAAGTCTAGATTCCCCAAGCTCCAGGGGACATAAGAAAGTTCTTTAAGCCGTCTTCTTCTTCTTCTTCTTTTTTTTTTTTTTGCCCAGGCTATAGTGAGTGCCTTGGCGTCAGCCTCGCTCACAGCAACCTCAAATTCCTGGGCTCAAGCGATCCTCCTGCCTCAGCCTCCCGA